ATGTTCTTCACACGTGTCACATTTAGATCAAGGAACTGCTTCAACTTCTTCAAGAAACAGATCTAACAGAAAAATAAGTCCAGTCGCCTTTAGCATAAGTGCTGATCTGAGGGATTGTCTGGTAAATGCTGCTGTAACATTATCAGTGATCTGTTTTGATCTGATTTGTTTTGAAGCTGAAATCCACCCAAATAAATGACCTCATCACTTATTAGGACTCACATAAATGGTGTTGCTCACATTTTCTCCCTGGTTGAAGATGGCAAAGATGTTTACATGAAGATTTTTAAGTGTGAGAGTCTGAAAAACCGTGCTGTCACAGATCAGACAAGCATCCGTCATTCTGAGCTCCACTCTTGAGAGTCCATGTTCACAGAGCCACAGTCCTGCACATTTAAAGCACTTAAAGCAGCGGTCTCCAACCTTGTTTGTGCCACGGACCGGTTTATGCCCGACAATATTTTCATGGACCGGCCTTTAAAGTGTCGCAGATAAATACAACAAAATAAAACTAGTACCTGTACTGAAAAAAAGAAGATTTATTCATAACACACGTGAAAAGACCCAGGAAAACCGAGTAAATGATAAAAACGATAACAAAATAACGCTGAAAACCGATACCAACCCGGTACCAAACGACTCACGGACCGGTACCGGTCCGAGGCCCGGGGGTTGGGGACCGCTGACTTATAGGACCGAGCTCGAGGAGTTTTTAGACCCCCGCAAAGCTGTGCTGGGTTTTTAGACAAATCATAACAGCTACGACTGATAATCAGCATAATTCCTGTTCAAAAATAGATTTTTTCAAGTCATTTGTGGTTGTTGTTTGTTTGTTTGTTTTTTTTATTTTAATGCATGGTCTATATTTTAAAGTGATTATAGATTATGTTAAGAAAGGTCTATGCCAGGGCTCTGGGAGGGAGCCTGCATCTATTAGTTGAACCTTGGAAAGTGTGTATTGTGTTAGTTTAATGACAGAAAATTGAATGTGAAATATCAGTGATTGTGAGATCAGCTGCTGAACTTTACAGGTTTGAATCAGTGCTGAGTTAAGAATTTTGCAATCAGGCGGATAAATGGTAAATGGCCTGTATTTATATAGTGCTTTACTCGTCCCTAAGGACCCCAAAGCGCTTTACATATCCAGTCATCCACCCATTCACACACTAGTGATGGCAGCTACATTGTAGCCACAGCCACCCTGGGGCGCACTGACAGAGGCGAGGCTGCTGGACACTGGCGCCACCGTGTCCTCTGACCACCACCAGCAGGAAACGGGTGAAGTGTCTTGCCCAAGGACACAACAACCGAGTCTGTCCGAGCCAGGGCTCGAACCGGCAACCTTCCGATTACAAGGCGAACTCCCAACTCTTGAGCCGTGATCGCCCCTAACGCAGAACCTGAAACAAGAACCTAAGTAGCATGTATGTGTTGGACTGTGAGGGCTTGACATGCAGATGATGATGATGCAGATGAAGATGATGTTCAAAGTTATAAAAGGCAAAGGAAAAAAAAGGCCAAGTTTAAAATTAGGAGCTGTTAAGAAAAAGCTTTTGAAAATGGGCCCGCGTCGGTTGTGGAGACTGTAATAATTACTGACCAATTACAGCCTGGCGTGGGTCAATACAGCATGTTTTCACTGCAGTGTGATGACTCACGCTGGTTTGTGTAAATATTTAGGACTAAGGCGTCCTATCTGCTGCATTAAACTGTAATGCTTTATTAATTTCTCCATCATTTACCAGCTATAAACCACAATTTCTGCCTTTTTTGTTAACCTGTAACGGGCTCTTCCTGTAAACTCATGCAGCAAATCAACTTTAATAAATTCAGATGTTACTGGCAGTCATGTTGAAATGCATTAGTTGCCATTATCTACGTTGCGTAAGTGTTTTTTCGTTTGTTATGGATGGTTTTTAAACTACAGTATTGTCTTTTTTGTGCAGAAGTAGAAGCGCTCCCAGCTGCATTATGTAATCCTTATGTAACTGGATCGTTTATTTACACGTGTCCTTAATGAATTACCATCACCAGCACTCACCAAATGTTGGGGAGTAAGGCGATAACACATACGGGCGGGTTGGCCGGCGATGAGTCAGCGGCAGCCGCTACTCAAAAGCATCCCAGCTGTGGTGGCAGCGGCCCAGCGGGGGCGGCGCCAGCCAGGCCGGGTCACCGCAGTGGGCTTGTGACCGTGTGGTTGTCGGTTTGATTCCCCAGATAGCTTCTGCACAGCGGCAGTCTTTTCTGTGACTCAGCTTGAAGCTCCTCTGTGACTCAGAGCTTTGTTCAACCAGAGCTTTGCTGATGGCGTGGTGGTCGTGATTCTGCTAATGCCACGCTCGCCTGCATGCATCATAACTCCTCCACTTCTGTACCAGGTAACAAACCCACAGGTGTGACACGTCTTCAACTTCTGAACACGGTTTGGTTCTTCGGTTTAAAAGTGAACAATCTACATTTTTTGACATGAATGAATGAATTATTTAGGGCATTGTGACAGAATTTATGCTCCAGTTGTTGAACATTTGCACAAGACAGTCTGTTTCACTCTAATCTGTGGATCGTACCATCATATATCCTCCAAAAATCTGCTGACCTCCATCTGAGCCCAGAAAGGACCCAAAGATTTTGCCTTTTCTTGAGGACAAATTGTATGTCTAGAAAAAAAACCCATTGGGCCCTGGCATTTGGGGTTTTGTGCATCTGGCATAAGAAACCTTCCAGATGAAGTATGCAGAGCACCTGCTCTGGTAACTCTTTATTAACCAACTGAAAGTGGCCTCATTTTTTTATTTATGTATTTATTTATTCTGTTTTTGAATGTGGGCATACAAAGAGCTGGTATGTGCAGACATGGATGGTTGGATGGCGTTAGGATTAAAAACTGGTATAAAATGTGAAGTTTGCACTTTCAACACAGGTTGAAACGGAGACCCAGCGAGGCTGCATCTCACAGCTAGGTCGTCTTAAATCTATCACGTGACACGGACGTGGTGATGTGTCCGTTGGCTCCAGAGAATTAAATCTTTTCTTTTAAATAACTGGGTCGTTTTAATGCTGTTTGTTGTGCACCGTGTTTTATCTGTTCGCCGATCATTTTATGCGTGTTTAGTGAAAACATTAATATGAATCAGCATACAACATTCTGACTGTGGATCTGAGCTGTGTGTGGAAATACTTGTGTGTCTCTATTGTGATCTCAAGTGATCTGTCACTCTGCATCCGCATCAGTCTGTCAGCTTGTAGCTGCTGGCATTGTTTTGAATGAATTATTGTTTAAATGACTAATATACTGTACAGCATAAAATACAGAAGACTGTGAATGTTGTCCTTGAATTGAAGACAGCTGGTCTTGTTGGTGTTAGGTGCATAGTTACATTTCACGTCTCAGCTCATCCCTACAAATGTAAGTACACGCTGTGTCAATGCGACCTGCAGCTATTGCGATTGGCCTGTTCAATAGCGTTGATTCCTCCTGTGCATGTCCAGATACTTTTCTGCACAGTCTTTGAATTTACGCTTCAGGATTTAAAAATAATAGTCATAGCATTATTATAAGGACTCAAACTATTGGACTAATGTCAATAAAATTAACACATAGAGCATCCGTACCAGCATAAATGCTGGCCACAGTGTTTGCTACTTATATAGGTTATGTCTCAGGCTCTACAGGAAGTCTAAATCAGGCCTTAATCCTGGAAAGTACTTGGCTGCAAACACAGACAGCTGGAAACCTGACAGAAGTCCGCTGTTTGGGTGCACGTGTAGTTGATGCATTATAATGTAAATTCTCAGTGGACAAGTCCGTGCAATCACAAAACACAGGCAGACCCTCTGTCTGATAATGTCATTTACGTTTCAGTGACGCAAGCGGACCCTAGTTTAGTGGGCCTTTAACCTTAGAGGTGGTCCTGAGAGGCATTGAGCCGACCCACCATCGTGTGACTCAGTCACATGGGTCAAGGCGTGAGTTGGGGTTGAATTGCCTAGGATCTGAAGACCGCCTTATATGTGGCTGATGGTTGTAACATCTCAAGCGCTCGTGGTTGTCGGCTGTCTAATCAAACTTCTGGGCTCACCCTCTAATATTTCTGTGTGTGGTGTCTGCAGCTTTGCTCTCTGATTTATTGTTTTGATTGCAAACCTCTTCTGTCTGATTGCATAATAAAGGCCAAAAAAGTAACTTTGTTCAGTTCTGAGTCACAGCAGAGTCACTTTACCTAAAATCTGAATGAATACTTGTTTTTGAGTTTTGCATGATTAGTCTCCGGCGTGCCTCGTTTAATCATCAGCGATATGAAGGGATATGTTCAGGTTTCTGTACCTCTGACCTTTTCCCTCCTACTTAATAATTTCTAATCATCTGGTCTCAGTGTCTGTCCCGCTTTAAGCTGCTGTGGGCAGCAGCAGCCTTCCCTCCACTGACCAGCACGCCACCCATGGGACTGCTGCGCATCAGCGGTTCAGATGTGACCGCGTGGGCGGCGATGAATGTGACGGGATATGAATGTGGAATATCAATTATGATGAATGCCTTCCCGGTGCTATCTGCCCCGTCTCTGCGGCGACACGTGTGGGCGGGTCCCAATCGCACGACCATAACAAGCCTTCGGTCGTAAACACCGATGAGGAAACAGAGCGTTTTTTGGTTTCTTGTTTTTTGCACAGAATTAATAGAAAGATGGATGGAAAGACGGCAGAGAGACACACAGACGGTGTTTTTGAATCCTCTGAACTGTCTCAGCTTTCAAAATGTCCCTACACCTACTTTCTGCACAAACCAGTGGTGTTAGATTTCCCAAAATCACACATTTCAGAGAAACAGTAGTTACAGTTACATAACCGCCCACCCCCGATCACATCATGATTGGCAACTCCAAAGTCCTCAAAACGAAATCCTGAACATCCACAAAAAATATTTATATGTAAAAATTTCTGCTGATAATAAGTGAAACAGCTTTTAGGAGTCACGTTATGTTTCTGTGTCTGTGCTGCAGAAAGTGTCCAGACGGGTTTGTCTGTCTGAAGGCAGGAAGAAACCCCAACTATGGCTACACCAGCTTTGACACCTTTGGGTGGGCCTTTCTGTCCCTGTTTCGTCTGATGACGCAAGACTACTGGGAAAACCTCTACCACCAGGTAAGCCTTATGACCAATCGATCAGTTAAAGTCAGAGAAAACCTGGATTGAAGTTTATAAAGTGTCTCTTCTTCCAATGTCTAATCTAGACTGGGGCTAATTCAGCGTGTTCTCATCCTGACATTATGTCATTCTGACACAAGTTTGGCGTCAGACTCTCGACTCAGGGATGAGGCTAAAGGCGGGGCCGGGGGTGGCACTGTCCCTTATCCAGAATTTGATTGGCCTTCTCACAATTGTGATGTCATGTCAGTGCAACCATGGGCAGAAACTGCAGGCAGGATAAAAATGCATAAAAAGAATTTTCTGTGAAACTTTGGTGTCCTCAGTGCATCACTGTAACTATGTTTAATAATACTACATGCAGTGGGCATGTGTTCACCTTCCACACAGTGAACAAAGGATCTGTGAGCCACTCTGTGAAATGAAGCATATTTCTTGTTGTAACCAGCTGGGTTTTATTAGCCGTGTTGCTTCGCTTTTAATGTTGCACTTCAGTCAGTATCGATTTTATTCCCGCCATAACGTTTTCCACGTGTGCGTCCTCAGACGCTGCGTTCGGCCGGTAAGACCTACATGGTGTTTTTCGTGGTGGTGATTTTCCTGGGCTCCTTCTACCTGGTCAACCTCATCTTGGCCGTCGTCGCCATGGCGTACGAGGAGCAGAACCAGGCGACCATCGCCGAGGCCTGCCAGAAAGAGCGGGAGTTTCAGCAAGCTATGGAGATACTGAAGAAAGAGCAACAGGTAACTGATGATCTGATGTGCTCGATTATCCAGCATGTGGTGCAGTGTAGGACTGTGGAGGTCAGAAACTGCCAAAATATCTAATAAATTAATTCAATTCAATTTTATTTATACAGCCCCAAATCACAACAACAGTCGCCTCAAGGCGCTTTACGTTGTAAGGTAGACCCAACAATAATACATACAGAGAAGAAGGTTACAATCATATGATGATTAACAAATAAATATTGAGAAAATAGTCAGCAAATGTTTTGCCTTGTGGGGTTGTTTGTTTGTTTGTATTGTTTTCCTTTATTTTTTTTTGCTTTGTATAACACTTTTCAATTTCCAGTTTTTTTTTAATGGAAATTAAAATGTATATTACTCACTGGAAAAGTTGGCTGTTTTAATCATTTGCATGATTAATCATGCATACAAAATGAAAATGTCAGTGTTTTTACTTTTATATATGTATTTATATGTACTTCCTCAGTTTGTGCAAAAATAATAACAATAATCATCATAATAAGGGAAAATGAATCTAATTTTAAAATTAATCGAGTCAAATTTTAAAAGCAAAAGAGTGTTTTTTTTTAAGCTGAGACGATTCATAAACCAAATAGGAGATAAAATAATATCCTTTAAAAAAGGTAAATATTTACAAATAAACACACAAGTGAAAGCAAATATCAGTTTAAGTCATTGTTAATAAATCAGTGATATCTTTTTTTAATATTGCTCTTTTAAGAGTCACATTAATGGATTATTTTTATTTTTGCAGTTTTGGTCCTCTGTACAGGAATTCTAAGTAAAATAAATGATATAAATCCAACTCAGTTACTGCTGTGTTTCAGTGAAAATAATACAGCAACAAAGGTGAACTAATGAGTGTTTAAATAAGTGTTTTCATGGCTTCTGTTTCACCTTCTGTCCTTTATTCTCATTTATGAATGAAAATGTATTAATATATGAGTATTAATTATTAATTCTTTCATCAGGGTGCCACCCAAAAAGCTACCGACTCTGACTCGTTGATGTCACCAGACCTCTCTCCTTTCGGCCAACCAATGGACAGCTTTGAGGAGCGAAGGCGGAGCCAGGCGCTAATGGGCGTGGGGGACGTGGAGGCGAACCTATCTGAGGAGAAGCTTCTGCAGGTGGACTTGACTGATGGTGGAAAGGTCAGTGGAGAAAGATCTGATTTAATATTGTTTATCTTCGGTTCAAAACTTTACTTTACTCCCCCCTCCTCCTCCAGCCGCTCCACCCACTCCTCGCACGCTCCTTTTCCACAAGGACGCGGAGAAGCAGTCAGGTCTCCTCCATCTTCAACTTCCGACTGAGGAGCCGAGGGTCGGAGGGAGAGATGGCCGATGATGAGTACAGCGTACCGGGCGACGTGGTGGAGGGCGTCGGTAGTCGAACCTACAGCGGAGGAACCTTCAGCGGCATCCTGCCCCAACCGTGGCCCAAACGGAGGCCGAGCACCTACAGCACGGCCAGCCGGAGCTCCCAGGTGAGCGTAACAGCTCATGTGTGGCAATGAGAGCCTTTTAATGAAGCACTTTTATCTCTCAGATTATTGTAGTTCTTCCCAGAAAGTTGATTCTGTTCATCTGGGCGAAATGTTTTCGGAAACGTTGGGAGAAACGTTCCATCGCTCATCCAAGTGACTTCTTCAGGCTGTACCATACACCATATTAATCTAATCACATAATTAAATTCTAACTTCTTTTCTTCACAAATTGTAAATGTATCTATAAACCGAGAGATTCTTCTGTTTTTTTCCACTTTATGGAGTTTTTTCTTTACAATATTTTGTCCCTCCTGGGGCACTGTAGTTATGCTTCTGTGATTTTTGTGTTTCCAGGTTTTTTATCCGACTCTAAACATCAACGGGAAGCTGTTTGTTGCCATGGACCAGAACGGGGTTTCCCCACCGCCACTGCAGGGGCAGCTGCCTGCTTGCACCATGGAGAAGGTCAAGGAGGAGAGTGTGAGTTCCGTGTCCTGACTGTGTGTGTGTTCGCTGCAGTGGAAACAATGGTGGAGCCTGCAGCCATCCAACACTCAGACATGTGAATTATGAATCAGCGCTTTGCATAACTCCACTCTGATATCATGGGTTAAAGACACACACACATACACACTCATATCAACCATCTCAGATAACAGTGCCATGGTATTCCCCCCATCTGCTCATACACGTGGGCGCACACACACACACACACACATACGCACACACACATACTGTTAGCACAAGACTATTTCCACACACACTCTGAACTTTGTGTGCAGTTACCGACATCATTGAAGAGCTAACTGATATAGATTCATTCAGACTGTGTGTTCACCTCACACAGTGATAAATATTTTACCAGGAGCCAATCAGGTGTCAGAAAGTCCAAATTTGGGCAAAACTGTTGGGGAGTGTGGACTAAGCTGAGGTTGATCTTGATAGGTTGTGACATTTGTCAAATGAAGCAAAAGTGCCTTCAAACCTTATACTGTATAGCAAAAATGTATGGATACACAGAGCTGTCACTAGGAGACACTTTTGAATCGTTAACTTTTGCAGTTTGACAGAAGCTATCTTTGGTTTTTGGTGCCAGAAGTCACCAACACGGTAAATGAACTGTATCACACAGATAGCAGCTAACTAGTGCTCGCTGGCATCCAAATAAAATAGAGCTCACACCACAAACGTTCTCAAGAGACAGCTGAAAGTGGCCATAAAGGAGCCAGGAAAAAGTTGCAGTTCCTCTAATGTCCACTTGAAGCTCCGTCCAAAAGTGAATCAGTTCCCAGTGACTCCCATATTAACATTCCCAACTTTATAGCAAAAATAAACATGTTTATAGCCTGGTACAACTGTGAGGGGGGAGCTGGGTTGCCTGTTTAAATTGCAGTGAGGTTCAAAGTTTGTATTATTTGGGATGTCTCTGACAGGTGGATGCCAACTAGCCGCTAGCTGTCTGCTAGGCTTAAACTCAACTAACTCAGTCTCTGAACTGGACCTCTGGACCATGTTTGGTGTTGGAGCCTTTGGAGCATTTTTAATGAGCACTGGCTCATGACTCAGCATGTGGTTAACAAGCTAAAGTCTACAAACGAAAGGTCGATGTCAAGCTAGCTATGTCCACATGTTTTTACCCCAGTAAACTGCCCAGTCTGTCAACACTGACGTCTATTGATGAGCCACAACATCGAATGTACAGTAGGCTCAACAATTATACTGAAGCCAGAATCACTAACTTAGCATTAGATAGTATTCGTATTTAACAGGACTACAAACATGCACACATGGGCTGTGCTGATGCCACGAGTAACTAATGTACAGTTTTCACTTGAAATCCTAAAATAGGCTCATTCTCGTTGCTTCCTGCGCTGCACATATTTTTTCACCAAGGCTGTTGACATCCGGCAGTCAGCTGTGCGCCTGGAAACATGCAGTACATAGATGTATCCCGGGTCATGTCCAGTCAAGATGATAATCAGATCACACTCATTCTGCATGACTCACTGACCAAACACATGCAGAAAAGGTGAGAAAGTCTGCCTGTGCAGATGTGTTATCCAGAAACAGGTGTTTACGTGCTGCTTTGCACTTTTTTTTTTTGGCTAAATGGGGACAAATGACATAACATACCCAGCATGAATACCTGCACAGTAAGAATATCAGCACATGAATCTGTAGAATCTGCAAACAGGCAACAAGATTCTTGGTACCAGAAGCTTTGTGGTTTCCTCTTGTAGTCCAAGTGCTGTTCCCAAATCATATTTGGACAGGGTTCTGTCTGATACAATAGGATGGTGTATGCACTTTAGTTTTTGTCTGTGTAGGAACCCTGCACACCATCAGCCATCCATAACCCCGTCTTGAGATCCCCTCCCAGGTGATTCAACCCCAACTTACACTGAGACCCATGTGACCTCAGTGCTGATGATATGGTTGATCAACAACTTGCAGCATTGCCTCCATGACAACCTGGTTAGAAGTTAAATAAGTGGTACTCTCCATCAGTTCTTAGAACTGAAAGGGTGAATGAGTGGTAGGACATCTTC